AAAAAAAAAATCCTTTTCTAATTCAACGAACTATAAATGAATTTCGTGTAATTTTCCAACACTACATAGTAGTTCATTGTACTCATAGGACTGTACTATGTCTTAAACCGAAAAACAAAGCTATAAAACACTACAGATTAATAATATAAATTATAAAATAAATATTGGCAGCCAACGAGCTAATCGAAATCTCGTAATACGAGAGAGAGAGAAACTTGAAAACAAGTTACGCTTCAAGATTTTGTTTCGAAAACTAAACCAATTCAATTTGCATTGGTGATAAGACGAGAAGAGTACAGCCCCCTCGTTAGGGAACTGAACTACCCACCTAACAGCGGTCCATATAATCGTGATATTGTTTCCACACGCTTCGTGCGATTAGCGCCTCTCATAATAAGGCTGTCAACTGTCTTATCAGCGCAAAATACACAATAAGAGAGAGGGAGAGAGAGAGAAGGAGAGGGTGGTATTTAAAATGCAAAGTCTAGTAAACTTTATTTGAAATTAGAAAACAAATTCAATAATATGAGCGAGCTAGCTAGACCTTATCTGTGGGAGCCCATTAGACGGTTTTGACCCTTGCTGCCTAACGACGACGACGTCGAGGCAATATTGTTTTAAAAGGGGTCATTACTATAGGCGTCATTTCAAGGCTTTCATAACGAAGCGAACCTGACACTGAAAAAATCGCAAAAGAAGAAGCAATATCACGTGCACTCAAGCTAATCTAGTTCTGTTCGCTCTCGTACTGACCCTACCCAAAAAGTGGATTAAAATTGGGGTATTATTTTTATTTTTTACATTTATTTTTTGTTGTTTTTTTTTGGTATTGGTTTTGGCCTCTGAGCCAGAGTCGAGGTTATTTACACATACGCCGTATCAGGCTGGGGCTGTTTTATTTTTATAGTATATTTCTTATCAGTGCAGTTAGCGTCAGTGTCATTTTGATGCACTCTGCATAAAAAATGGGGCTGGGTCTGAATCTGTTGCATACATATATGACGGACATACATATGTATATGTGTATTGTCCGGCTTTGCCCGTGTCTAATATGTGTGCTCATTATATTGTCTATTGATCTGTACTACCTTGAACCATCCATAAAAATATAAAATAGATGCTTGTCAGTACAGTCTGTCAATCATTCAATTAGTTAATCGATTATACAATAAATCGATATTTTGATTATTACTCTCGAATCCATTAATCTTTAGAATGCAAATATCTCTCTCAACAGGTTAGCTACTCTCATTTATTATTTATTAGTCAATCGGACACTTTCATAGTCCTTTAATCTGCACTCAAGAGTTCAGATTTTAGTTGATCAGTTATTCAGCCAGTACACATAGTTATATAATTTATCTAGATATATGTACATCCACATAACTAACGCACGTTAAAACATATCCATTGCAGTGCTGGAGGTCTCGTTACTGCCGTCTGTCCGGTTGTTATCAAAGGCAGCGGCCTATGGGTGGGCTGGGCAGGCATACATCTGGAGGATCCCAATGAGGCGATACCCGAATCGAATCCCTACGATCAGACGCCAACAGCAGGCCTGAAGTCCGACCAAGTGGTATCAGTGAACATCGATTCCAAGATCTTTGACAGCTACTACAATGGCTGCTGCAACAAGATGTTCTGGCCACTCTTCCACTCGATGCCAGGACGTGCGAACTTCGGGGGCGAGCACTGGACGGACTATGTGACCGTGAACAAGCACTTCGCGGTGCGCACCATCGAGGCGTTGGAGAAATGTTTGTCCAACAACAATGGCAGCGAGAAGAATCCACCAATTGTCTGGATACACGACTATCATCTGATGTTGGCCGCCAATTGGGTGCGTGAGCATGCCGAGGAGAAGAATCTGCCATGCCGCTTGGCCTTCTTCCTGCACATACCCTTCCCGCCATGGGACATCTTCCGTCTGCTGCCCTGGTCCGATGAGATACTGCAGGGCATGCTCGGCTGCGATCTGGTTGGTTTCCACATCCAGGACTACTGCCTCAACTTTGTGGACTGCTGCCAACGCAATCTGGGCTGTCGTGTGGATCGCAACAATCTGCTGGTGGAGCATGGCGGACGCACTGTGCGCATCCGTCCATTGCCCATTGGTATACCCTATGAGCGCTTTGTCAATCTTGCCCAGAATGCACCCAAAGTGCTTAAAACTTCCAAGCAACAGATTATTCTCGGTGTCGATCGGTTGGACTACACCAAGGGCCTGGTGCATCGCCTGATGGCGTTCGAGGCGCTGCTGCTCAAGTATCCACAGCACAAGGAGAAGGTCAGTTTGCTGCAGATCTCTGTGCCCTCTCGCACAGACGTGAAGGAATACCGCGAGCTGAAGGAGGAAGTGGACCAACTAGTCGGACGCATCAATGGCCGTTTCACCACTGCCAACTGGGCGCCTATTCGCTACATCTACGACTATGTGAGCCAGGACGAGTTGGCCGCCTTATATCGTGACGCAGCTGTCTGCCTGGTCACCCCGTTGCGCGATGGCATGAATCTGGTGGCCAAGGAGTTTGTCGCCTGCCAGATTAACGAGGTGCCCGGCGTGCTGGTCATTTCGCCATTTGCCGGCGCCGGTGAAATGATGCACGAGGCGCTGCTCTGCAATCCGTACGAGGTGAACGAAGCCGCTGAGGTGATTCATCGTGCCTTAACCATGCCCGAGGATGAGCGAGTGCTGCGTATGGCGCGTCTACGTCGTCGCGAGGCCGAATGCGATGTCAGCCACTGGATGCGCTGCTTCTTGAAAGCCGTGGGTGCTCTGGAAATGGACGACGTCGGCACCACCATTATGCAGCCCGTCTCTGTGGACGACTTCGATGACTACTTACTCAAGTGAGTGCACTTTCGATATTCTCTAGTAGATCCACTGACTCTCGTTTCCTCACTTCAGATATATCGGCTACAATCACAAGCTTGCCCTGTTGCTGGACTACGATGGTACTCTGGCGCCCATTGCTCCTCATCCAGATTTGGCCACGCTTTCGCCTGAGATTAAGAATGTGCTGTTCAAGTTGTCCAATCACTCAGATGTTTACGTGGCCGTTATCTCTGGACGCAACGTGGACAATGTCAAGAAAATGGTGGGCATCGAAGGCATCACCTACGCGGGCAATCACGGTTTAGAGATTCTGCATCCCGATGGCAGTAAATTTGTCCATCCCATGCCAATTGAGTATGAGGACAAGGTCAGTCTATTGCTCAAAGCGCTGCAGGATTCGGTGTGCCGCGATGGCGCCTGGGTGGAGAACAAAGGCTCGTTGCTCACCTTCCATTACCGCGAGACACCCAACCAGCTGCGTGCGGACATGGTCGACAAGGCGCGCAGCCTGATCGAGAAATATGGATTTAGAGCAACGGAAGCGCATTGCGCTCTCGAAGCACGTCCACCTGTACAATGGAACAAGGGTCGGGCTTCCATCTACATATTGCGTACGTCATTTGGCGTTGACTGGAACGAACGCATCAAGATTATCTACGTGGGCGACGACAATACGGATGAGGATGCCATGGTGGTAAGTAGAGAAGACAGTTTGACAGCTAAAAACTCTTTACTGATTTCTGTAATTTCTCTCTTTAATAGGCTCTGAAGGGCATGGCACGCACGTTCCGTGTCACCTCGTCGGATATTGTGAAGACCGCTGCCGATCATCGCTTGCCCTCGACTGACTCCGTCTACACGCTGCTCAAGTGGGTGGAACGGCACTTTATGGGCCGCAAGGCGCGTGCCAATTCGTTAACGTACCGCCCCACTAGAGGCGATGGCGTCCAAATGCAAATGTCTCTCGAGGTAGCCACGTCAGCTAACAGTTTGGACGTTTAACCAAAACACACACATATATATATATATATACATTGTAAGATCTTAAGAATTAAAATAAATAAAAAGCAATTTGTACCTTAAAACATGGCATGGTCACAGTTATCAAATTAAAATATATATAAATTTACAATCGATTTGGTTATGCTATGGAAAGTTGATACAATTTATAAACTAAGCACAGCTAATAACTAATTATGCGATAGAACCAGCCAGGATATGACGAAGAAAAACAAAAATATGGGATAGACTGCGAGCGGCTTGCGATGTGGCGGTTGGCTTTGACCCAGAAAGATAAAGGAAGCTGCACAACAGAAAAGAAAATAATAATGAAGGCATGATTTATCATAGACTATATATCTACTTACCATATGTAGCCCAGGCGAAGCCTAATGTTGTGGTAACAAAGCGTAAGAAGAAAAGAAAACGCGTCCGACTGGATAACAATATAATACGACAAATGATCAAGGAAAGAGCAATGGGTGTTAGACAATAGCCGAGCACGCAAACCGATTGGAAAAATGAGCTGTACAGCAAAGAGTAAATAAGAAAATTGTTAAGTAAACACCAATAGCTGCTGTTTGAGCGCCACATACATATTGCCACCAAGCAGCTTGGAGTTGAGCGTTACAATGGCTGCACCTATCCAAACAATCACAAAGACCTGCGCAAATTCGGGTCCATTGTCAGACATGCTGTCTGCAGAGGAAGACCCTTGCAGAATAGTAGCCATGAAGGTGCACAGCACCAAAGGGCCCCATAAATCCCCTGTAAGTAAAAAATGTAAACATCAAAAACTGCTGACGCATACATATTGCAGTGACTTCTGGTGACGTACAATCGCGCAGCAGACTCGACTTCTCTTTGGGATAGAGCACATGATAGAACTTCACGCCAACAGCGCGTATATCTCTCAACACCGTCTCACTTATGGGCTCGTCCAGGGTATTGTATTCGGGCACTCCATGTTGTGATGTGGTTGTCGTGCGTTTGCCCGGTATAGACATGTCGCCCTCCAACGAGGGCGATGTGTTGACGTCCTCAAACATCTATGAAACGAACGCAATTAATAGAAGTTCCGTGGCAAGACAATCTTCAGTTTAAGCACTTACATCCAGCCTGGAGTCCATTTAGAAGCTGTTATTTGTGTTTGATCACAGGCACAAAATAATAAATTTCTTTAATGCAATCAATTGCCAACACTTTTTTCAGTCTGTTATCGCAACTTTGCCTATCGATACAGAACTTGCATCGATATTTTTTAAAATCTAAAAATGTAATCGAATCGATATCTTTTTTAAAAACCGTGCTTTTAAATAAATATTTAGATCTTTAATCATTTACATACAGATGTACATATATATTACACATTTTAATTAAATATATAGCTAATTATATCTATTCATTGATTTATATATTTACAGAATCAACTTTCAGTTGAACACTAAAAGTCTACTCGTTTTCAGTATGAGTGTTCATGTGCGCTTTAAGATAACTAGCTCGAGTAAAGGCTTTTGGACATTGTGGGCATTTGTGCGGACGTTCTCCAGTGTGAGACCGTATGTGTCTGCCAAGCTCTCCTTTGTCAACGCAATTCTTTGGGCAATGCGGACACTTGAATGGATGCTCGCCCGTATGCGTGCGGATATGCCTCGCCAGCTGCCAGGCGAGCACATATTCCCTGGGACAGAGCTGGCATTTGTAAGTACGTTCACGGTTATGATATCGCATATGGTCCTCAAGCTCGGCCTCTTCAATGAAATATCTAGTGCAGCTTTGGCATTTGTAAGTCTGTTTGCCTGGATGCGTGGAGACGTGATACTGAAGGTCCGTGTGGCGCGTAAAATCCCGCGTACAGTGCGGACACTTAAACGGGCGTTCTCCTGAATGGATGCACATGTGCTTGCGGAGATTTGAAGCCTGGCTAAAGGCTTTTGGACAATGAGGACACTTAAATGGTTTCTCGCCCGTGTGGGTGCGAATGTGCGACTTGAGATGACATTTTTGGGAAAAACTTTTTGGGCAGTGTGGACACGTAAGTTGACCCTTTTTGGTCTCTCTCCTAGGCGAGTATCCTATGGCAGCATTGGATTCGAAGTCATTTTGATTAGCTGACAGCGGAATGGTTTCAACTTGTTGCACCTCCTTTTCCACTTTGATGCAACCTATATCCATATCTGGCTCCGACACTTCCCAGTTCTCTGTTTCCAGCAATTCTGACTGTATATTTACCTCATTGCTCTTCAGCTGAAGGGTAGATGGACTTTGATTAGGTGCAGCAATGGAATTACTGATGAATACGTTATTGCTATCATTATCTTCTAGTTTGCTTTCCACTTGCTCTGCCTCTGGTACTTCTACCTTTATTGCATCTAGCATTTGACTTTTCTTTAACGTCTCGCTAAGCACCTGATAGCTCTTCTCGCACCTGCGCTTGAATGCAAATGCAGTTTGTATATCTCCAATGCACAAGAGACACATTTTCTGTGGCAGGCCATCATTAAAATTGATTTTAATGGAGACGATGCACTCGCAGAGCATTGCAGCCAAACTGGATTCCCTCTGATCGGTGAATATATCCATGAGAACTGCCGAGTTGGTCATGCATGTCCGACAGATCTGTTCCATGGCAAACGTATAAACGAAATGCCTGAGAAACTACCATATACATGTCAACCTGCTCTTCAACAACAACAAAAGATGGACTAAGTTGAAAACTATCGCAGATTACAAAAATACCACACGATAGTTTGTCTATCGATGCTGATCAAACAAAAATGTTTACGCCAGTTAATTGGCAAGAGTAACAAATGTTATCTTATTACTAATGTAATTAAAACGAAGTAATTATTATTTAGAAAATATGAGAGCTTACGCTAACTGGGGATAGAGTAATCTCAATGTAAACAAACCTTGACAAGTGCCGTCTCTTTCTAAAGTTTTGACTGAGCTTCTTATCAGTTAGTAGCGTTGCCAACTGTATGCAAATAGTGGCAGAAGCGCAACGCACGTTTGGCAACGCGTGCACATATGTATTTCGCACAAGCGAAGCGAACAGCAACAAATAAACACACGCCTTCTAGCAGCAGCAGCAGTCAGTGCATAAAGATATTGTGAAAACAATGTGTTAGACAAGCGTATGTTAACTGAAAGTAATATTGATTTTGCGGTTTAACACGCTAAGATGCCGAGCGAAAACACAGCAGAGGCAGCAACGGAGACAAAATGTAGCAATGACAAAGGTGACGCTGACGCAGACGCCGTGCCAGAGGCAGGCAGGCGTATGCCATCAGCGTCACCGTCGACGTCGTCGTCGTCGAAGTCCGCGCGTAAGCAAAACACACAATACGGCCTGACCACAAAGGTGGCACTTTCGTGGCTGCACGAGGACATTGAGAACGTGTTGCTGGAGCATGAGCGGGCGAGCAGAGCAGAGAGGTATGCTTGCGTACGGACACAATCAATGACCTCTAAGTGTAATAATACCCAACTTATTTCCCCTACTCTCCAATTAGCTGCACTTGTAAATTTCGTGCGGCATTCATGAAGCGCTATGACAGCCCCCTCGGCTGGTTATCAATCGGCACGACGCTGGTGACAAGCGGCGCTCTCTTGATCACAGGCATGTACTGGCCAGCAATTTGTTTGCTCATCATTCTGCTGGTGGACTTATATGTGGTCATTAGGGAGAGTAATTTGCGACGTACGGAAATCTTTCGCAAGACTCGACATGCTTTGGCGGAGCTGCGTTTGGCCGAGCAGCATCTCAGCGACAATTGGCACGAATCAAACTATCCGCATCTAAATAATCCCATGTCTCCATGCGTCTCACTGCAGTGGACCTATCGAGATGGACAGATTGTTAATCTGCCCTGGGCGCTCTTAGTGCGTGGAGATTATATTGTGCTGCGACCGGGTCACATATCGCCTGGACCCTGCCATGAGCTGCAGACCAAGCGATTTTTTAATACCAGCGAAATCTATGGCATCTCTGCGGCGCAGCTTGGCGATCCGCCAGTCAAGCCAACGGCACGTGCGCCGCTGCCCGATTTAGTATGCTGCCTAGAGCGCACGCCGTATTTGGAAAACTTACGTTTGTGCCTAAAGAACTCGCTGAAGCGACCGCCAACCATTTACAATCAACAACGCTATTTGGTATGAGTTCATTACTAATTTAAATCTTCTTTTGTATAAAACTGAGTTCTTTTGTCCGCAGCTGGTGACCAAGTACATCCAACAATGGGGTTTTATTAGCGCCTTGGTCATCACTCTCTTTGCGGGCCTGCTGCGTCTGCATGGCTATGGATTGTCCACGGATGAGAAGCATAATTGGCGACATGTGCTGATTGGCTCACCAGCAGCGGCTGTTATACCCTTGTTGCCATTGGTTTTCCCAGTGCTGTGGATATCCATGAATCTGTGGGGCATTGCGCGACTGCAGTGCTTCCTGAAAACACCGCAGGCCATACTGGAGAAGTGCACCAGCAAATCGTTTGAGGACCTAGATATAGATTCACCAGGCTATGACTACGACAGCATCTCGTTGCTACGCTCCAATGTGTTGCGCATCTGGATGCAGCTGTGGCAGGGTGACAGCGAACTGTTGCCGCGCTCGGCCAATCTGGTGCAGGTGCTGGGCTCCATATCTGCCCTCTGCTGTGTGGACAAGAAAGGCATCCTCTCGTGGCCCAATCCCACTGCCGAAAAGGTTTTCTTTCTGCACAACACCGAAGAGGAGCCGCAGGATGACGGCAGCCAGCTGTCTATGTCCACGGAAAGCGACAATGTCGACGATCCGGAGAATAAGGAGCGAGGCGTCGTGGCAGAAGTACTCGATCTCACTCACGATCAGCATTGCCCCTTCCGCCTGGAATTCGACGATCATGAGTGGAAGGCGCATATCAAATCACTGAAGCCCTTGGGTGAGTCAGAAGAATATTTGTATTAATGTTTGTTCAATCGAATCTCTTCCTATCAGGTCTGGCCATTCTACTAAACACCTGTTCGCCGTTAACCCACGAGCACTACGCGCAGTTCTGTGGCCATGTCAGCGCCGTGGCCATGCTCGACAAAGATCTGGTGCCCGTCACGAATCGGTATGCGATGTTTGAGTCCAGTATGAAAAGCCTATTGCATGGGTACGTAGTTCATTGCCATAATCGTTGCTATCATTGTTGCTTTAACCAAAAATGAACCAATTCTTTTATTATGAAGATAATTTAATATCTATATACATATATATTTGCCGAATTTGGTCTTGTATTGTTTTAGTTTTATTTTATTATGTCTATAAAGCAAATATGCATCGCGTATATGCGCCAAATGTGTGTTGCCCACGTTTATTGTGGGGCAACGATATAATTTTTGATTTTTGTTTTGATTGCAAAACACCCGACACTTCAAATTGGATTGATAAACTCCCCAAAAAGATATAGTACAGTATATCGATATGTAAACAAAACATGCAATTGGTAAAGTTATACTATTCTTAAATCAACTTAATCATTTTTGACTTTCAGTTAAACAAACAATCGAGAAATCCATTAAGTATTTTAGATATGCAAATGATTTATTAGCTTAATTTCGATTGGCTCACTTTGAGGCAAATTTTATATTTTTTTCATTTATGTACATTAATCCTAAAAAATTCAGCAAAAACATAACAAATTACATGATCTCTTTACTTTTCATTATGTACATATATGTATACTTATATTTTTGTATATATGCATAGATATACATATATATTTAGGTTTTATTTTTGTATGTTTGTTTTGTTTGTTTCTCATTGTTTGTTTTATGTTGTTTGTCAATGGAACGCACTTTTCGTCCATCCCATCCGTAGCACTACATACATTCGTTTAATGTTAATTGGCATGCTATTTTAAGTAACAAAAATTATGATGTTGCCAAGAATGCCTCAAATACAGTCGGCCCCCATCCAAACAACCACCCTCCCAAATGTCCCCCATCTAGTGTATATGCATATACAAATCGTATATATACATATATATACTGACTACGCTTGAATGCCTCGCATGCTCTCACACACGCACCCACTCAGCCATCAGCCATCTACCTTCGCACGTCCAGCAGTTGGTGCCAGTTCTAATCGGTTTTCTATATATATGTTTATACATGGTGCACGATTTGTCGAACCAGACGCTGTCTGTGCGAGCTAGCCAAACAGATTGGCTTCACTGATCATGCAACGGATCGTTTTGCACTGGAGGGTCAATTGGCCAGCTATAGGCATTTGGTAAGTCAGAGAGAGAGAGAGAGAGAGACCAACCCATTCTATCTCTGACTTATACAACTACCGCTTCTTTCACAGCAACCGGATGTTGTGCGTCGGGACATTCGATTTGCTCGCCAGCTGCAGCTTTCGAGCAAGGTAAAGGTACCTTTTCCTCATTCCTTGTCGGTGGTTATGCGTGAGAATCCAGGCGGCTATCTCTCGCTGTTCACGCAGGGCACGGCGGACATTATATTAGACTGCTGCGATGATTTCTGGGATGGCAAGGATTTACGTCCGCTCTCGCCACAGGATCGAAAGCGCGCATTGGACTTTTATCAGCGCAGCGCTCTGACCTCGTACTGCACAGCGTTCGCCTATCGACCCTTGCGTCATGGCATCCATGGAGCGTTGAGCGGGCCGCTGCACAGCAATGGACAGATTGCATATCTGGAGTTGCCGCCGGAGTCGAAGCTGCGCATGCAGCATGTGGACAAGTCGCATTGCGACTTCGAGGGCGGCCACCATGTGAAGCTGAGCCACAGCATTAGCACGGACTCGCTGCTGTTCTCGGAGAGCAAGGATGAGGATTGCAATGATGTGGAGGGCTGCTTTGAGATGCAGTGCCATCAGGTGTTCATTGGCATGGTCACCATGCAGTATCAGGCCCAGAATGATATTGTGCATCTGGTGGAGCGACTGGAGCGAGCCTGCATACGCTTCGTGCACTTCAGCAAGGAGAATGAGCTGCGATCGCGCGTCTTCTCCGAGAAGATGGGCCTCGAGTCCGGCTGGAATTGTCACATCTCGTTGCTCAGCGAACCAGAGCCGGATCGAGAGAAGCCAACGGCTAGCAAAGTCAAGGATTCGGACAATCCGAGCAAGTCGTCAAAGCATGCGGGTAAAATAATCAATGAGACCAATACAACAACCACCAACAACACCAATACCAAAACCACCAGCACCATCACAGATACTGTTGCCAATCATTTACCCAGTGACCACGTCATGCACATTCAGCCACCCGATGGGGATGCCACAGGCACGCCAATCGCTAAACAGACTACTGATATTATAGGTGATCCGCCGGATGGACCTAAGCTGAGCTACTTGCTCGAACCGCCCAACAATTTGGAGTCATCGAAAACGTTAAGCTGCTCGGCGCCCGGCGCCATATCGAATTCCGATGAGTGCAACGCCCCAGCCGAAACCTCAGATGCAGCAGATGGCCAAGATGCAGGCAAAGATAATGATGAGAATGCGGAGCTAACAGTCGACGAAGAGCCCGATCCCGAGCGGCATAAGCAGCGACATTCCCTCGACTCGGCTATGGATGAGAACTGCCGCTCGCTGAGCACCCTCACGGAGA